TGGGCGGTCTGTGATCTGTGATGTCATGAGTATTCCCAAGCATGTGGGTGGGGCTAAAGAGAGAGAAGTCGGCGATGTCTCCATTACTAAACAAAAATAGTCTGATATGGCATTCTGCTTTGCCGTGTGTGTGTGTGTGTGTGTGTGTGTGTGTGTGTGTGTGTGTGTGTGTGTGTGTGTGTGTGTGTGTGTGTGTGTGTGTGTGTGTGTGTGTGTGTGTGTGTGTGTGTGTGTGGCATCCTGAATGATTAGGAGTCAGGCATGCGGGAAGCCCCTGCGGACTGATTCTATCCACCAATCGGAGGCTCCCTCTAAAGGTACGCATGCTTTTGAGCTGGCCAATCAGTCAGCAGTGGGCGTCGGCCCTGTTCCGCCCCAGAAGACGAGGGTTGAAAATCAGTCTTGTTGCTCGCGGGGAAATTCAAGACCCAAGTGGGAAAACTCCCAACCTGGTCCATGCGGAGTGGAGCTGATGCCAGTGTGTAAGGGCCTATGCACTCTTGCTGCTGAGGGGATGAATGACCTACGACAGTGTTCTATTTTACATGTGGGATGTCTCAGTCTGCTATGAAGGAGCTGCCCATGTCCTCCACAATGGGTGGGAGGAGCTTTTTCAAGATGGAGGTCATCTTCACCACCATCCTCCTTTCACACATCTCCTCAACTAAATTAAGTGGGCAGCCCAGAACCGAGTTTCCCTTCTTAACTAGCTCCTTTGGTCTGTTTCTGCCTCAGTCCGCGTAAATAACAGAGCCACCAACAGAGTGATAAAAGGCTGATTGGGTCTAACTCTGAAGAACTTCAGCCTTCTCAGGAAGTGGAGTAGGCTTTGGTCCTTCTTCTATAAAACATCTGTGTTGTGGGACCCATAGACATTAATACGTAGATGCCCCATTGGGCACTGGAGAATGTAACAGCGTCACCACCATATTGGTTGTGTTCCCCACTGTCCAAACCCAACTGCAGTCAAAGCATGGCGAGCAACTATGCCATTTTTTGTGCAGCCTACGGTAACCGGGGCATTATTGAAAACAGATCATGTGGGACTTTTCTGGGAACTTTCTTGTTGGCAATTTAATTTTTTTACGTGATTATATTTATATTTTAACTATCACGTCTTACCACTTGTCTGCCTTAATGAAAAAAAAACTGCTGCATGGTGTCGCAGTTGTTAGCACTGTTGCCTCGCAGCACGAAGGTTGCAGGTTCGAAACTCGGCTGCAGCCTTTCTGCGTGGAGTTGCGTGTTCTCCCCATGCATGCGTGGGTTTCCTCCGGGTACTCCGGTTTCCCCCACAGATCTCAACATGCCCTATAGGGTATAAATTCTAAGTCGCTTTGGATAAAAGTGTCTGCTAAATGAATAAAACATAAAACATAAACATAAAACAAAACATAATAAAATGTGTTTTAGTTGGGTAAACAGCTCCCTCAGTAGAAATAAATTTCCTGGAGGCAAATGGAGACCACCACAGCAGCTCCAGCAGGCAGCGCCAGTCCATATGATGTCTGTGGTGGGACCAGTTCAGTTTACTGTTGAGGTAACATCCAGGTACTTAAAGGTATCCACCACCTCTGTCTGCTCCCTGGATGTTTACTGGTGAGTGAGGAGGAGTGTTTCTCTGGAAGTCGATCACCGTTTCCTTTGTCTTGCGGTGTTCAAGCGAATTTGGTTACGCTCACACCAGTCCATGAAGCCCATGTTGACTGACCTGCACCCCGTACGGTCCCCCCTGAGTGTAGCTCATCACCACCAGCGTGTGAATGTGTGGATGACTAGTTGTGTTGTGAAGCACCTTGGAGGGTTGTAGAACCCTAAGAAGGTGCTATACAAATACAGACCATTTACCATCGACACGCAAATGGCATCGGCTCCCGCTTCCTAAAAGGCCCAGCCCTGCTCCCTTTCTTGGTTCAGGACCCTGGACAGGTCCAAAGTCAGGCCAGCTTTCCACCTCTGCCTTCCTTCAGCACCCCAGCTGCAAATGTTTTTACTTTTGGTAAATATAGTATTTAGAATAAGACATAGCCGTTGAGATGAGTTGTTTTCTAGTTATTTAGCTCTGGAGAATTTAAAGCGGACGTTTTTTTTAGAAACTGGTCACTCTAGGTTTCACATGCAGGCTGAACATGAAAGAACCTTCTACCACTTTTTTCTGCATTAGACACGGATAGAAAATAGATGGTGAAACTCTAGAATTAGAAAAGCCTGACAGAACATTCATGGACTCACCCATCTTGAGCCATGACAGGGAAGGCTGTTGAAACGTCTTGGAAACAGCAGAGAACGTCTCCTAGTAGAAGCTAACCGTTAACATTAGCAACTCCACCACACAGCAGAACTCCTTCATGCTTGCGTTATTTGTGGAGATAAAACATGGATGTTACAGAATGTCAGTGGTAGAGTCATGTTGCTGTTTGCCAATCAGAGGAGAGATGCTAGCAGGTTATTAACCCTTTGATGCATAATGGTCACTACAGTGGACAGGTACTCAAAATTGTAATTTCTTTTTTTTTGCTATTAAGCACAGCTGTTGAAGACTTTATTGCATGTGAGCCCCTCCATTTGTACTTCAGTAAGTCAAGCCACCATATTTCATGTTCAGAATGCACGCTGTCCACTGAGATGGACATGTAATAAATCATTTGTACATTAACAAAATGTTACAAAAAATATTTGTTGAAATTTGTTTCATTCACACCTAAAGATGAATGAAAAAAATTGTTTAAAAAATCATGTTTGAAGATCTCATAATTCATGCATCAGAGGGTTAATATTAATGAGACTAACCTCTACTTCCCGAAGCAGGAGCGCCACAGAGTTTTGACACTGATTCACACCATAGACCACAGCACATTTATTGAAATAAGAAGTCTAGGCATGCTTTCAGGCAGGACTGTTCACAGCAGCCTTGTGCTTCATCAGTCATATAAAGTTCTAGTGTGGTGTGATCATCATGTGGTTGCACCATGACCGAGAAGTTATACCATTGCGATGCCTGACTCGCAACATGATCATGGATGTATGTGGTTGCCTTTTAAACGGGCCGTCTGTCATCTTCACTGTAGTTTTTTTTTAAGTCCGGTCTGTGCTTCAGTAAGATGCAGGTACTAACACTCTAACCTGCTGGTTAATCAGAATCATGCTCCATATTATTGATATTAAAGGTGTGGTTCGCTGAAAAAAAAACATTTTAATGATTATTTCTGATTCTAACGGGTCACTCTGAGTGTTTCATGCAGACTGAACATGAGGATAGTCTCCTACACCTATCTCCTGCATTAGTGTCTGATAGAAAACAGACGGTGAAACTCTAGGATTAGAAAAGCCTGACAGATCTACGTCACACTGTCACTAACATTCATGGACTCACCCATCTGGACTCACAACGGGGAAGGCTGTTGTTGGTTTAGCGTCCAGAAAACAGCAGAGAACGTCTCCACTAGTAGAAGATAACATAAGCATTAGCAACTCCACCACACAGCAGAACTCCTCCAGGCTTGTGTTATTTGTGGAGATAAAACATCAACGTTGCAGAGCAAGTAGAGTCAGTGGTAGAGTTGTGTTGCTGTTAGCCAATCAGAGGCCAGATGTCCAAGTATCAGAAAATACCATTTGCAGCTCAACTCTCATCTGACTCTCTTTTAGCTCCGTTTTTAGTCCCGCCCAGTATGGCATACAGTAACCACTGCAAATGTGTGGATAAAACGTGTGGTCCGCACCTTTAATAAATGCAAAAGGCCAGCGATGCTCTTCTGTCATTTAAATTATTTCAGTTTGGCTTATCATAAACTCTGATTAGCACCCCACAGTAACTGCTGCTTCTGTCCTCGCTGCGGTCAGACCTCCAGTGTGAGGGTCAGGATACGAAGCACATTCGGGTGGTTCTGGTGAAGGTACGAACGCGTCTCAGCTGAGGGGAAGTCTCACATATCGAGTCAACGAGCTCTGTCATGACCTAGAATCTGGAGCACAAATCTTAAATCAGAGGGGGGGGGGAGGATTTTTTCCATTAGGCATGCAGGGCGTCAAGAATAGCTTCTACCCATTCTGTCTGTCTGTTTCTAGATCAGAAGATAAGGGAACGTAGTTTGAGACCGCTCAAGGGGAAATGAAGACTCATCAAGAGTTCCCATAGAGTTCCAACCAAGTCAGCAGGATGTGGAATAAAAGAATCAGCTGAGCTCAGAGTATTCTTGTAACCGTTTCATAATCCTTTTAAGGACAGTCAAATTAAACCCAGAACAAGTCTAGTTGAAACAAAGCAGTTCCTGTTTGCTAGTAACCACACACGTCTCCGTAAAAACACTGATTAGGGAGGGTAACCCGACGATATTCCCTATCCATATTCTAAAGCCTGTCATCCGTTTCTAATGGCGGCTAATTAATGTTAAGAGGCAAGGCAAGGGAACAAATGAACTGCAATTTTCTCTGTAAACAACTAATTAGAGCTAAAACCTACAATAGTAAAAACCTTGCAGTTTTGCATTTAATGAGGTGTTCAGTCATAGAAACAGGAAGTGATTTATGTGGTCAGACATTAATCCTACCTGCTCCCTCAACTGGTCAGCGACACCGTCAGGTGACTCACACGGAGGCGTGTTGGTGGACGATCCCAACAGCATGCAGCTGAGGCTGTAGAAACCAAAGTGGGTCTCTGCCATCGTAACACAACACCTCTGCGGTGGTTCATGTGGTCACATGACACGGGTGACCAGGCAGAACATCATCATAACCCAACAGGAAGTGTCTGGGCTGCTACTGTTTGCCATGTAATTATAATACTGTCTGAAAGTAACCGAGTAGGATAACAGCGACAGAACCCTCTGCTGCTGGTCTGGAAATGAAAACGACTCAAACCCATTCTGTGACTGGTGCTTCTTTACCTAGCTGTTAGCTTTTCAATCTGATCAGAACTAACCTGTTTCATTAAATAATCTGTACTTGTGTCAACAGCAGCTTCATCTTAAATACTACGGTAATGAAGAAACCACTGCGTGTTTAAAAAGATCCATAGATGGTTTAATACAACATACCATATTCTCAACAATTCAACATCAACAAAACTTTGTTTGTTAAAAAAAATCTGCATATTACCTTTATTGCACAGGACAGTTTGAATGTTTTTTCCATAGATTTCTTTTTTGTGTTTTTTTGCAAAAAGTTGGCTTGGACTATACACGGTTAGGATAATCCAGGGTGGAAATTCAAATGTAGGAGGAACAGAAATGAAAAACAGCATCCCGGACCAGTCGGGACCAAAACAAGGCTGGATACAGCAGCCACTTGGAACACAGAGCATTCATAATCAGCCAGAGGGAGAACATCCAGTTTTTTTCCTTTATGCAAAACAGATTACACCAAAGCTGCTGCAGATTGCTCCATGGGTGAAACCATCTGCATCTGTCCACCCATCTGCATATTCTGTCCATCCTTCCAATCATAAACTGTAATGTCATCCATCATAAATAGCTTCATACATGATTGCAAGGCCCAGCTGTCCACAGCGGGGAGTTAAAAGGCCGAGACCTTCAGACTTTACCTGTAGGACCAACTGGGAGCATCGATGTACAGAAACCCACCTTCCACGGCTTTAACGGGAAACCGGAGAGCAGAAATAAAGCATTATTTCGTTTTGCTCCAACAACAAACAAATGAAAATGAAAGTCCAGAGAGGTAACCGAGAGTGACAACACATTTCGTAGCTTGAGGAGCACATTGTGTCTGAAAAGCATCAAATAACCAGATAATCACTTGCATCTGTTTTCAGCCAAATCCTAATAAGGTGAAGGTGGATTAGTGACTACAACCCAATAAACACACAGCTAGTAACATCATAAAAAGCAGTTAATGATAGAAATCCTTTGAATTCAATAGAGCTAAAGGTTTTATTTATTTTAGTCGTGTAGCGATACACAAATGACTCCGTTAGACCAGAAACCGGAGTTTTTCCACCTCATTTATTTAAAAAGACCGCATCCCAAAGGCAGAGACAGAACATCAGAGCACACCTGCTGGGTGGGGGGGTGGGGGGTGGGGGGGGGGGGGGGGGTGGCTTTAGGGATCAGCACAACCAGGTAACTTTGTTGTAAGTGAGTGGAGTGTTTCAGTGATCTGGTTTAGACCATCCCACAGGCCGTCCGTTAGGGCTTCATGACGTCTCTTATTGTCCAGAGGAAGTACAGACGTAGAAACAGCAGACACCCAACACAACAACGAGAGGAGAACATCTCACACGTTCCTACATAGAGCCTCTACCGTTGGTAACGCTGCTGATGCTACCCTCCCAGTGCACTCTCCTCACCGGTTTTTGGGTGTATTTTCATTGTTCGACTCCAGACCGGAGCTTTCTGACACTTGAAGACTGCTGGATGCTGGGTTTGGTCATAAGAGTGCTCAGGAAACTGTCGCTGGGCCGGTCCCACTGGACAGCTGTAGACCTGCAAATCACCCTCACACTCACCATGTTTAGTCTCGACACTGAAAATGCAGCATGTGGCTTTAAAGGGGATTGGAAAGTGCATGGATTTTGACCCATTTGACTTTCCATACTCCCATTTTCACCAAAGTCATGGTTGAGTGTAGAGGGCCGTAGCTACATTCAAGCTGTTTCCAGATCAATGACAGCATTTGGGCTGAATGAGCAGCTTTGAATGAGTTTGAATGTATTTTGCACTAAAACAATGAACTGATAGTGCTGAACAGAAGACAGACTCAGTGTGTTTATATCTGGGTCAAACTTTAACCTGGGAGCCTTTATCCTAGTTTACATGTCTGTTTCCACCAAACTCTCACTGAAGGTTGTTCCACCCCACTACACTAGGTGGCGACATGCGTCCTTTGATGTCGGCATGCTTTCAGTTAGCCTTAGCGACACAAGTAGTAAAGAAACGCTGGCGGTAGTGAAGCAGTCGGAGTGAAACCGGATATGCACAATGGCTGACGGAATGGACACCAACAGCACCTGCAGCACAGCTGATTTGGTACGGACCGCCCTGTACTGACGGTGTTCCGCATCTTACTTTGTGGTGGTGATGCTATCAGAAGGACGCTTCTGCAGTCTTGTCACTTCTGGAAGGGGAGTGCTTAACTGAGTGTTTACCTGTGGAGGAAGTCGGGTTCCTACTGTGTATCTGGGTGCTGCAGCTGGATAAGGACACCTTCAGCCAGACTAACACTCACATGCTTGAAAAAACGTCGGCCTATCTAAGGTTTGGTTCTGTGAAACACATGTAAACGCACCCCCGCAGCACTGGGACCACATGTATCGTTACACCCCTACTGGAGTTCAGCACTGGCATGATATTTATACCTCATTTGTTTCACTTTTTAGGTAATTAGCTGATGTCAAAGTAAAATGTATACCAGACTTAAAAGTACAGTTTGATCGACGTCGTACACTTCTCATATTTTTGAAAAAATACCCTTGAATGTATTTTAGCTTAAGAAAAAGTAATCATTGGATGACTCAGAGGTAAATGTACCTAAGGACAAATAATAACAAACATACCAGAACATCAAAGCTAACAGTGTACCTGTGATTGAAACCGTCTTAATGTGCTCGTCAACCCCTACAAATGACACAACTGCACATGAAATCCCCCCAAAAGAACAGAAAAGCACACTAAATAAAAAAATATAGACACATACAACAGCAATTATTCAAATATGATCTGCTCCTCATATTTTGGCTGTTTCTTTTTCTTCTTTCTGATATATTTTCCCACTAAATATCCATAGGAATAGGATTTGTTCAAATTTTATAACAAATCAGACTTGATTTCTCCCACGTCGTTTTGTAGAAATGATGAGTCTCTGGGCGTGGTTTAGCTCCCTCCCTCTTTCAAAAGTCAGAAACTGGCCTTGTGTCAAGTCCACCAGTTAGGAAAGCAGAGACTGTGTTAGCACACCATAATCCACGGGTTTGGAGAAGAAAAGAAAACAGTTTTCTTTTCTCATTTGTCTAAAGTTTGGGTTGGAAACAAACTGGTACCACAGCCTTCTTAAATCATTTTCATGTTAAACTTGCGAGGCGCGTCAACCGCGGTGCTGCTCATGCCAGCGTCTGACTTGCGTGGAACGTACTCAATCTCAATGTTGTGCTTGGTGTTGCCTTTACCTCTGCTCCACAGAAACAGCAGCACCAGGCAAAATAAGACGACACCAAGAAAGGAGATGAAGCCCATTGTGGTCGCGATAATCAGAGTCTTGATGTCAAACGGAAAAGGGACGTTGGCTTTGGTACCATTAGCACCTGTCTCCGTAGGCTGGTTGGATATGAAAGCAAACGTCTTGTTGGGTTGATGTGGCCAATCAGGCGAGTAGCTATGGATATGTAGGTGAGCAAGAGAGGTGTCGTTTCCACCTGCATTGCTGGCTATACACACATATGTGCCATTATCTTGGATTTGAGCATAGCGTACCTCGAGGGTGCCATCTGGTAACACAGAGAGCCTTCCAATTGTCTTGGTGGTGATAAACCTTTTCTGTGGAGAGAGCCACAGAATTACTGGAGCAGGATCCCCATCTGCTTGACAGGCAAAATGAACAATGGCTCCTTCATCAACAAATTTCTGCTGAGGACTGCGATCCCTAATCCTTGACTTGCGACACGTGAAGTAGTTTGGCTGCAGAACATCTGGGAAATCTTTGAACTCTTTGCCTTGAACAAACTCAGGAGAAGCACACGTGGGCTGCTGCTTGTTGAAGTTTAGTCGCCAGCGTCGTCGGAACACCCATAGGAGTCGGCAGTCACAGGCCAGGGGGTTATCGTACAAGGCCAGGGTTTCCAGGTTGCCAACTGAATGGAAAGCAGACTCCTCCAAAGTGCTGAGAGAGTTCCCGGAAACATTTAGAATTTTCAGGTAGTTCAAGCTGCGGAAAGAGTAGGGCTCAATCATAGCTAGTCTGCCCCCAACCAGGTGAAACTCCTGGAGACGAAGAAGGTCGTGGAGCTTATTTCCCTCTATAGTAAGGATGGGATTATAAGAGAGATTAAGAAAGCGCAAGTAAACCAAGTGCCGCAGGGCTACATAAGGGATTGCGGTCAGGTTGGCATTGGCGATGGTGAGAGAGGTGAGATTTAATCCATACAAACAATTTGGGGTCATCGTATCCAAGTATGGCCAGTTGGCTATTTCCAGGACCTTCAGCCGATAGAGCCGTTTAAAGGAGTAATCCCGTATGACATTGATATTGAGATGGCGCAGCCTGAGAGTGATCAAACTGTGAAGGTGGCTAAAAGCCTCAGTTGGCACATAGGTCAGGTTACACTTCTCAAGACTTAGGTGCTCTAGGCTACTAAGACCATGAAAAGCCCGGTTGGAGATGAAAACCAGATCATTATCACCCACCTCCAGAGACCGGAGGCTGTACAGATCCTGGAACATGTAGTCCAACAGGATGACAATCTTGTTCTCACTGATGTCCAGCTCTGTGAGATTGCTCAGGCCTGTGAACACGCCCAGCTGAATCAGCTTAAGCTTGTTGCTATGCAACCCCAAAGTCCGTAAGAAATTAAGGTTGTTGAACGCTCCAGGTTCAATAGTGGAGATGGTATTTTCACTCAGCTCCAGGTGTTCAAGGTTAGTTAAGCTGGAAAACTCATCCTGGTTAATCGTTCTGATGCGGTTCTTGCTGAGGTCCAGCAGCCTGGTTTCTGCAGGAATGCCTTCGGGAAGGGACACGAGCCTTCTCCTGTGGCACATCACGGAGTGCTCTTTGCACTCACAGCGGGATGGGCAGAGTGTGGTGGAGCTAGACAGCACAGTCCCCAGCATCAGGATCAGGATGGGCTGCCAGCAAGCCACCAGGCAGCTGTGCCCAGTCACTCGCCTGGCCACCATCTTATCGGTTACCTGGGTAGAAACAGAGAGAGGACAAGCATTAGAAAATGATTTCCTTAGCTGGTGTTGGAGCATATCCCGAACCAATCATCCGCCGCATGTACTTAATTTATTCTAGAAAGCACGAGTGGGTGTTACGCTTGCTTTTGGAACGTTATTCTAACTCCTGTGTTTCTTTGAAGCTTCTGGTTAACGCAGCGAAGTGAACTCCATCCTCATAGCTCCGATGCAGCGAACGGGGCCGAGAATATGACACCTGTTCCAATATTTATGAGCAGATGTAAGATGAATACAGGTCACTGTGAATAAGGCGTGTGTGCTTGCATAATTGAGAGTGCTGACAGGTTCCAGTTTGCATCATATGCTTGTCCACACACCTTTTAAAACAGGAACTTATTCAAAGGCCTGATCATTCTGGTGCTCTACCAGCGTCCTGCTCTACACCCCCACTGTGTCTGCTGTGGGCGGCTGAACATTATTTCCACAGACCACCTTGCTGAAACTCAATCAGTCAATGCCGCCGCTCTGATATAAAGTGACGGGGCACAGTGTCAAGCTGAATTAATGGCATTTTCAGTAATCCACACCGGGCCGTGCCACAGACAGATAGGCTGAGCACATTCTCGTAGAACCACCAAGTCTCTGAGTTAAAACCCCCGGGTTATCAAAGATGGATGGTGGCATGAGTGATGGAGGTGCTGCGGCCAGTGTCCCGCTCAAGCATCTTCAAAGATAACAGACGATACACACCAGGGAGCTGGGTAGACCAATACATGGTGGAGAGAAATCTATTGGCTCAAACATGGCTGATGCTTAATTACGTGATGCTGATAACTAGTTAACGTCATTATATAAATGCTCTGTGCTGCTGCTGGTTATGGATTAGAGGATGTAGCTCAGTTTCATTTCCTTCTGTGTGAGGTCAAAGTTCACATTGGGGATTTGGTGATACCATCTGTAATCAAGAGGGTTTGTCTCAGATCAAAGACCTGCAGCAGTGCCTTATTCTGCCCAGAGCCCTGTGTGTTCATTCTTATTCCTTAACTCCATCGACTGGGTCAGCGCTGTGTGTGTGTGTGTGTGTGTGTGTGTGTGTGTGTGTGTGTGTGTGTGTGTGTGTGTGTGTGTGTGTGTGTGTGTGTGTGTGTGTGTGAGTAGTGGAATAGTGATGTGTTATGGAAAAAGGAATTAGAAGAATTAGCGTTATGGTTAAGAACCTGCTGGGTTCTCTGTAGCTGATCCAACAGCAGAGATAACGACTCTTCAGTTTGAAGTTTTCCTTTCCTACAGACAGACATGAATGGGTGAATGAGCACCTTCTTATCAGCAAATAGTTGAGGTCATGATGAGGTGAGAAGATTTGGAGCTTCTTAATTACAGTGAGGAAGAGTTACCACTGTCAGGTGACTGCATTTATCCAAGGATATTCCAGTATTTAATCCCGTTCTTTATGTTGTGATCCCAGGGCCCTCCTGCCATTAAGATGCCTGAATCAGCCCCTCTGGGAGGTGTCCAGAAAGCCCTTGGACCAAATGCCCCAACCACTTCAGATGGCTCCTCTCAATGAGGAGCAGCAGCTTCCTCCAAGTCCCTCCTGGATGTCCGATCTCCTCATCCAATAGGCTGAGTGAAGGAAAATTAATGTGGCTGCTTGTATTGAAAAGTGTGAACCAAGTAAGGAACATGTAGAAGTACCCTGATCTGAAAGAAGTCAACAGATCATCATCTTTCTGAATAATAGGCACTTGTTGATGTGAGTTTCATTTATCCAAGGTACTGGATGGATGGATGGATGGATGGATGGATGGATAAATGGATGGCTGCAGCTTTAGCAGGCTGTGGACTTGTAAGAATTAGAATAGGACTCGTGATCGTGGCATCAGCAGCCGCCCCACTGGCGGTATTCGAGTCCTTACTTGTTACTACTGTAAATGGCGCGCTCCATCTCATTCTTGCAGCTTAAATGAATCTATTACTCATTTGATCGGTTACATTACTCAACTATGGTAAATCGTTGCTGTGCTGTGGGGTGACACCTGGTGATCACCAGGAGGAATAAAGGTGGAAAACAGACTCCTTTTCCACCATTTTCCAGCCTGGAGCCACAGCCACGGAGACCAAGCACAACAAAGTGTCTGGAAGGCACTGAACATCTGCTTCTGGAGTAGTTACAGATTTCTGTCCTTCAACCACGACATGCACACACAACACACACACACATATGCTACTCACACACACTGGTAAGCTAATGCGGGCGCGTTGATACACATCACAACTTCTCCTGGTACGCTTCTTCTATAGGATGACCATTCTGATAGTTCTACTAGAAAAACCAGCAGCTGAAACCCTCTCATCCGGACGTTTACGTTCATTCACAGCACAAACAAGAGAGCTGAAAATGTCCATTATTCAGAGCCGTGGTCGCTGCTCCAGTCGTGGGCCGTTCATATGGATCCAAACCATTTATGATGCTGATTTGGTCCAGTTCCCCATTTCTTCATTTAACATATTGCTGTATGTTCTGAATCCTTTTTGGGATTTGAACATGCTGTTTAACGTGTCGTACATCTCTGTGACATACTGTTCGTTCTCAGGTTTGTTTACATCAAATGTGCTAATAGCCACAAAACGGAACCTTCTGCTTCTCCTTACCTCCTTCAGCTCACACGGTTAGTGCTCAACGGGATTTACTAACAAAAACTTTATTGCAATGTTTGAAAGAATGTGTGTGTGTGTGTGTGTGTGTGTGTGTGTGTGTGTGTGTGTGTGTGTGTGTGTGTGGGTGTGGGTGTGTGTGTGGGTGTGGGTGTGTGTGTGTGTGTGTGCGCACATCATTAAATTCATCCTGCGTGGTCACAGAGAGCATGTCTGCACACGTCCCAGAGGGCTACGCGTCATCGAGCCCTGTTGCATAAGACCTCTAAGGCCGCCCTTGTTCGCTGTGTGTTAGTAATGTCGCTGAATATCCAATCCACCATACCAGCGTGTTTTCATAAAGTTCCATCAGTGTGAGGTAGTAGCAACCCGCTGTGCCAACTACTGGAAAACACCAAAAGACCAAGAGAAATGGTCATTTCTACAGTTCCCGAGTCTCGGAAAGTCCAAATTCAAAGACTCCCAGCAACAACCTCGTCATCGTCGTCGTCTTCCTCCGCTTATCCGGGTCCGGGTCGCGGGGGCAGCATCCCAACTAGGGAGCTCCAGACCGTCCTCTCCCCGGCCACCTCTACCAGCTCCTCCGGCAGGACCCCAAGGCGTTCCCGGACCAGATTGGAGATGTAACCTCTCCAACGTGTCCTGGGTCGACCCGGGGGCCTCCTGCCGGCAGGACATGCCCGAAACACCTCCCCAGGGAGGTATCCAGAAGGCATCCTGACCAGATGCCCAAACCACCTCAACTGACTCCTTTCGATCCGGGGGAGCAGCGGTTCTACTCCAAGTCCCTCCCGAATGTCCGAGCTCCTCACCCTATCTCTAAGGCTGAGCCCGGCCACCCTATGGAGGAAACTCATTTCGGCCGCTTGTATCCGCAATCTCGTTCTTTCGGTCATTACCCAAAGCTCATGACCATAGGTGAGGATTGGATGTAGATCGACCGGTAAATCGAGAGCCTGGCTTTCTGGCTCAGCTCCCTCTTCACCACGACAGATCGGCTCAGTGTCCGCATGACTGCAGACGCCGAAACAATCCACCTGTCGATCTCCCGATCCCTCCTACCCTCACCCGTGAACAAGACCCCGAGATACTTAAACTCCTCCACTTGACCTCTCCCCCGACTCGGAGTTGGCAAGCCACCCTTTTCCGGTCGAGAACCATGGTCTCAGATTTGGAGGTGCTGATCCTCATCCCAGCTGCTTCGCACTCGGCCGTGAACCTACCCAGCAAGAGCTGAAGGCTCAACCTTAAGCATCAAATGTGCTAATAGCCACAAAAGAAAACTTTCTGCTTCTCCTTACCTCCTTCAGCTCACACGGTTAGTGCTCAACGGGATTTACTAACAAAAACTTTATTGCAATGTTTGAAAGAATGTGTGTGTGTGTGTGTGTGTGTGGGTGTGTGTGTGTGTGTGTGTGTGTGTGTGTGTGTGTGTGTGTGTGTGTGTGTGTGTGTGTGTGTGTGTGTGTGTGTGTGTGCGTGTGTGTGTGTGTGTGTGTGTGTGTGTGCGCGCGCGTGCGCGTGCATCATTAAAGTCATCCTGCGTGGTCACAGAAAGCAACATCAGCACATCCTACTGGTTTCCAACACTGGTTAGTTGGACGGGACGTCATTTCCTGAACAGAGGTCCAACTATGTATGGAGGTCATGAGAAGAAGAGTGCTTCTGAAAATAAAGAATATGTGGAAGACATATAAAAGTAGTGCTCAATCCATGAAGCCAATGAGATGGGATTAATGACTTGATGTCAGCATCTGCTGGATGTTTGAGGGTTCTGCGTCCCACCGCAGCTACCCAGCACCATCACATGCGGGTGGAACACCGGTCCTACTCACCTAGACCAGTTCTAGGTTTTTATCGATGAATTCCACTCATGCATGAAACTTGTTTCATAATAAAGGTTGACTTGATGAAGGACGAAGAAGACAAACGAGCTGCAGTGGCTCAGGAGAGGGGCAGCTGGGTTGGTGTCCGTGCTGCTAGTCTCAGTGCATGCTGGGATTTGTAGTTTCAGTGTGTTTTTCTAAATAATATTCATATGTAGAAAGGCTAAATTGGACATGAAGTTATGTGCGGGGCGCTGAGATGGACTCGTGTGACCTGTCTAGCTCTACTCACACGTCACAGAGCTCCACCTGGACGGCTGCTTTCTCCAAGCTGTCAGATCTTCTCGTTTCACGTCTCACTTGTCGTCCACCAAGGACTTATTTGTTCCATTCTCTGCTGTCTGTCTCCATTGCAATCCTCAGTAAAAGCATCACCCTAAGCTGCGGTTTACGTGTCACACGGCATCACTCCTGAGCCCTGATGAATGCCATTGTTAAATACCTGTAAGCTTCTGGAAATCCATCAGATGA